AATAGAGGGATTTGTTCTAATGGTGTTTGTAAATAGGATATCAAATCCGCATCTTGTACAGCAATTAACCACTAGGAAGAATGTATACAATGTGTTAATTCTTCAAACTGTCCTACCAGTTTGGTTTGAAACTGTCTCATTGCTATTTGTTTCTCAATAAAATTATGGAAAAAAAATTGAATTACGAGTTTCTCAGATTTTGATTCTATTGGAGAATGCTTAAATCAGTGTAAGTTACTTTCTAGATAATGCGGGTCAATAAATATCATATTAATGAACTAAAATAATATTTAAAACATTTTTATTACAAGTAATATATTCTCATGATGAACTTTTCTTGTGCTACATAGTGTGCAGTGATAGCGAGTGATTGTTCCAGCCACAACCACTTCATAATTCTCCCAGAGAGATAATCACCATTAGCAATTTCTTTATGTATGTTTCCAGAAAATTTCTGTATGTTTTTAGGAGTAAATATTAATTTATATATTAATTTCTAAATTAATTTTATTTATTTACTTACTAATTTTTTTGGTACCGAGAATCAAAGTCAGGATCTTGTGCTTGCCAGGCAGGCACTTGTTCTGCTGAACTATATCCCTGGCCTTCTAAAATAATTTAAATAAGAGTACAATGTGATTATGATTTTTAATCTTGTTTGGAGCTGTTTATTATTTATTTATTTTGTGTGGCTGGCTCAACACACCCTGGGGGCAGAGCTGGTGTGGCATGTGGTACCAGGGATGGAATTGTGGTCTCTGTGCTTGGCCTAAGCTTGACTAACCAGGTGCTTTAGACCACTGAGCTGTCTCGCTGGCCCATGGAGCTGTTTTTATTAATACAATGAATTAATAATGTTCTTTTAGTGTGTGTATGTGAAATCCTATTTATTGTATTTATTTTATTTTATTTTAAGAGATCCTTTCTTACCTTTTCACTAGCTACACCAGCATCTGCAAGATCTGAAACTCTGTCTTCACATTCACTTAAACGGTTTTGCAAGCTTGTGATTGAGAGTTCAATTTCCTCTATATCTCTTTGACTCTACTTCATGCATTCTATTTCTTTCCTGTATTGCTCATTCAAGGAATCCGTCATTTTTCTAATCTCCTCTATTTTTTTTTTTTATCAATATCTTCCTTAGAAGCAGTTAGAAATTGTTTTACTGCAGTGTTTTTCTCAGATTGGGTTTCCTGCTTATGTTTCTGTAGTTGCTTCTTTACTTCATCTGCTACGAGTTCTGAGAGTTCTTTTTTTATTTCAGAAAAGAATTGCGCTCTGATTTCCTGTATATCTTTCTGCTGTTGCTTATTTACTATCGACGCTCTTGATTCATGCATTTGAGCCGAGCTAGTGTCCTCCACACTTGTTCTGGGTGGGCACTGGGTTGCTTCCATATGTTTCTGCATTTGATTCTTTAGTGCAGATGTTTTTAATTCAAGGATTTCTTTTTTCATTTCCAATCTGAGGTCTTTTATATCTTTCTGCAGCTGTTTTATTTCAGAAGCTGTTGATTCATTGCTTTCATCTGTGTGATTTCCAATTTTTTCTGTGTTGGTGTCCTCTGCACTTGTTACGGGTGGGCTTGGGTTCTGAGGTTGCATTTTGTTCCTTCTCGTCATTTTGTGTAGCACTGTCTTCTGCCCTTTGTTGTAGATCTTTGCTGTAGTTATAACCTTCATACGTACTGAAGTTCAGGTGGAGCTCTACAGAGTTTGGACTTATCCAGCTGCATCTGGCTCAGGTCTGGCTGCTGTGCTCAGCTCCTTCCCGCTGCGGACCTGGGCTAGGACTGGGTCTGGGGGTTCCCGGAAGTCGGCAGAAATTCCTACTTGGCAGGAGGGGTGGGGAGGTTCGGCGGAGTGGTGGGGGGCGGCCCGAGGGGGTGGGAGAGGGTCCGGCCCATGCTGCGCCTGGGCTGGGACTGGTCCCGCCGGCGCAGGGTAGCAGGAAGCTCTCCACACACTCCTATTTTATTTTATTTTATTTATTTATTTATTTTGGCTGTCTCAGCCTGCCCTCAGGGCGGGGGTGGCACAGCATGTGGTGCTGGGGATTGAACCGTGTTCCCTGCACTTGCCTAAGCTTGTCTAAGCAGGCGCTTTAGACCACTGAGCCATCTCACCATCCCTCTATTTTTAAACATATACATATGCTTACAGACATAAAAATTATAGTCATCTTGGGGGATAGTATATACATATGGCATCATAATCATTTTGATTTCCTCTTCCCCTCTGCCTCCCCAGCCTCTCCTTTCCCACCATTCTACATCCTCTTCTCACCTCCATAAAGTCTACTTCCCTGTTTTCCATTATCCTTTTATTTTGCTTTTTCACTTATTTATATTTTGAGTTTTTCTGATAGAAGAGAAAATATGATACAGTCTGCTGTGTCTGGTGTATTTCATTGAGCATTATGGTCTCAAGATGCATCCTCTGGGAAGTGCAAGGTCCTGAGTTCAATCCCCAGTACCAAAAAAAAAAAAGATGCATCCTACAAGTAACTCAAATTTATCTTAATACTGGATGGTAGTCCATTGTGTATACTATTTATCTACTGATGGACATATAGGCTGTTTCCAAAAGTAGCTACCATGAGTTGTGTTGCTGTAAACATGGATATGTATGTGTCAGTAATATCATGTCTTTAACTCCTTTGTGAAGATATCCAAAAGAGGTGAGCTGGGTCATGTGGAATGTTTATTTTTAAGTTTTTTGAAGAATCTCCATAATGATTTCCATAGCTGTTATACTAGTTTACATTTCCACTAATAATGTAAATGCATTCCTCTTTCCCCACAGCCTTGCTAGCATTTGTTGTTTTTTGAGTTCTGGATGCTAGTCATTTTTCTAGAGTAAGGTACAATCTCTGTGTTATTTTGATTTGTATTTCTCTAATGGCCAAAGACGCTGAACATTTTTTTCATGCGTTCATTGGCCATTTATACTACTTCTTGTGTCTTAATTTCGATTACCCATTTTTTTAAATTGGGTCTTTTAATTTTGGAGCTTTAATTTTTTTGCAGCTTTTTTATGGATTGTTTGCTTTGAGAAGGCTTTTTCCACTTGATATAATTCCATGTGCTGATTCTTGGTATTATTATTATTATTATTATTATTATTATTATTATTATTATTATTATTTTGCAGTTGGGGTTCTTCTCAGAAAGCCCTTTCCTATGCCTGTATTCAAGCATATTACCTATTTTATCTTCCAGTACATTCAGTGTTTCTGTTTAAATATCTAGGTCTTTGATCCATTTTGATTTTATTTTATCACTTTGTGAGAGATGGATCTCACCAAGTAGTGTTCTCATTCTTCTCTACTTGAATAACCAATTTTCTCAGCACCATTTGGCGAAGAGATCTTTTCCCCATGATGTAGCTTTGTCTTTTTTGTGAAAATCAAATCTGATATCAAGGCTGAAAGTACCTGAGGTTTTTTCCTGCATTCTCTGTTCTGTTTCACTGATCACAATGTCTGTTTTTTGTGCCAGGGCATACTGTTCTTTTTATCATTTTAGTTTTGTAGTATATTTGAAATCTGAGATTGAAATGCCTGCTTCTTTGCTTTTGCTTTTTAGGATTACATTAGCTCTCCTGTGTCTTCTGATTCTTTATTTTTTAAAGACAATAAAAA